CCGGGACCCCATCACCACCAACGTGCAGCCGGTACTGGGCGCACTGGGCCCCCCCCCTTTGCCTCGTGCCGATCACGTGCCCGGTGCACGAGGGTCCCGCTCCCCCCGGTACATCCCGGTCCTCGACCCTCCGAGCCCCCCCCCCCCCATCCCGGTCCTGGGGTCCCCCCGTGCCCCGCCTTTCCCGTGCCCCCCCCTCCGTGTCCCGTCCCTCCCGCCCCGCCCTGGCTCGGTGCCGGTGCCGGTGCCGGGGGCGCAGGCGAGCACCGGGCGGTGCAACGGGAAACACCGGCTGGACCGGAGGCGGCGGCGGGGCGGGACGGGCCGGGGCCGGGGGGCACGGGGCCGGTAGCGGTACCGGTACCTGCGCGGTGTCGCCCTGGCAGAGCATGGGGCCGGGGGGCACGGGGCCGGTACCGGGGGGCACGGGGCCGGGGGGCACGGGGCCGGTACCGGGGGGCACGGGGCCGGGGGGCACGGGGCCGGTAGCGGTACCGGTACCTGCGCGGTGTCGCCCTGGCAGAGCATGGGGCCGGTACCGGGGCTCCCTCCCGGCGGCTCCTTCAGTGTGAGCCCGGGGTGAAGCGGGAGGGGGGGGGGGGGCAACCGGAGCAGCGGGGCTGGCACCGGGTGGTGCGGGCGGGACAATGGCGGGAGTCAGTGCGGGAGCAGCTGCGGGACACAAGGGGGGGGTTGTGTGTCCGTGTGTGGTTTGTACACGTGTGTGTCCGTGTGATGTACCCGTGTGTTGCTGTGTGTCCATGTGTGATGTATCCATGTGTTGCTGTGTATCCGTGTGTTGTGTGTCCATGTGCGGTTGTGTGTCCGTGTGTGGTTTATACACGTGTGTGTCCATGTGATGTATCCGTGTGCGGTTGTGTGTGCGTGTGTTGTTGTGTGTCCATGTGTTGTTGTGTGTCCATGTGTTGTGTGTCCATGTGCAGTTGTGTGTGCGTGTGTGGTTTATACATGTGTGTCCATGTGATGTATCCATGTGTTGTTGTGTGTCCATGTGTGGTTTATACATGTGCTGTTGTGTGTGCGTGTGATGTGTCCATGTGTTGTTGTGTGTCCATGTGTTGTGTGTCCATGTGTGATGTACCCGTATGTTGTTGTGTGTCCATGTGTGGTTTATACACGTGTGTGTCCATGTGATGTATCCGTGTGTTGCTGTGTGTCCATGTGTTGTTGTGTGTCCATGTGTTGTGTGTGCATGTGCAGTTGTGTGTGCGTGTGTGGTGTATCCACATGTGTGTCCATGTGTGGTTTATCCATGTGTTCTGTGTCCATGTGATGTATCCATGTGCGGTTGTGTGTCCGTGTGTTCTGTGTCCATGGGTGATGTACCCATGTGTTGTGTGTCCGTGTGTGATGTATCCACATGTGTGTCCCTGTGTGGTGTACCCATGTGTTGTGTGTCTGTGTGTGGTTTATCCATGTGTTCTGTGTTCGTGTGTGGTTTATCCATGTGTTGTTCTGTGTCCATGTGTTCTGTGTCCATGTGTTCTGTGTCCATGTGTGATGTATCCATGTATTGTTGTGTGTCCATGTGTTCTGTGTCCATGTGTGGTGTATCCATGTGTTGCTGTGTGTCCATGTGTTCTGTATCCATGTGCCGTTGTGTGTCCATGTGTGATGTATCCATGTGCCATTGTGTATCCATGTGTTCTGTGTCCATGTGTTCTGTGTCCATGTGCGGTTGTGTGTCCATGTGTTGCTGTGTGTCCATGTGTTCTGTGTCCATGTGTGGTGTATCCGTGTGATGTATCCATGTGCGGTTGTGTATCCATGTGTTGTGTGTCCATGTGCTGTGTGTCCATGTGTGGTTTATCCATGTGATGTATCCATGTGTTGTGTGTCCATGTGTTCTGTGTCCAAGTGTGGTGTATCCATGTACGGTTGTGTGTCCGTGTGTGGTTTATCCACACGTGTTCTGTATCCGTGTGTTGTTGTGTGTCCATGTGTTGTGTATCCATGTGTTCTGTGTCCATGTGTGGTGTATCCATGTGTTCTGTGCCCATGTGTTGCTGTGTGTCCATGTGTTCTGTGCGCACGTCGTGCGTGTGCACACATGTGTCCGTGTGTGTGCACCAGGGAGCAAGGAGCCGGCACTGAGCTCCTGCGGGGCCGTGCTCGTGCCCGGTGTGTCCCGCCCGGGAACGCGCACGCACACGCACACACGCCCGTCTCCATGGCAGCGCCGCCCGGGCCCTTTGTCCCTTGGATCCTGTTTCCGCCCGGCCAGAGCTCCGCGTTGCTCACCTGCCCACTTCAAACATGGCGGCTCCAGCGCTTCCCCTTATACCGCAGTTACGGCATCTCCGGGCGGAAGTGGTCCGCCCGCAATCGTTTCCCCCAGCCGCGGGACAGCGGCAGCGGCAGCGGCGGATGAGCAAGGCCTGGCGGCGGGGCAGGATGGAGGCCGGCGGGCACGGTGAGGGCCGGGGGGGCACCGCGGCCCGGCGGTGGCGGATCCCGGGGCGGAGCTGACGCCTGTGCCCCCCCCACAGGCGCCGGGGCGGAGGCGGAGGCCGGCGGCGGGCACGGCTCCCATAGGAAGAAGCACAAGAAGCACAAGAAGAAGCACAAGAAGAGGCACCACCATGAGGCGGGGCCGAGCCCCCCCGCGCCGCCCCCGGCCAAGCCCCAGCTCAAGCTCAAGATCAAGCTGGGGGGGCAGATCCTGGGCACCAAGAGGTGAGGGGGGGCGGGGGGGGGCCCTGCCGGGCGCTGCTCCCACCCCTCGGCGCGGCCCGGTCCGGCCTCACCCCGTGTCCGTGTCCGTTTCCGTTCCCCCCCCCCCGCAGCGTCCCCACGTTCACGGTGGTACCGGAAGCGCCGCGCTCGCCCTCGCCGCTGATGGTGGTGGATGAGGACGAGGAGCCCGCGGAGGGGGTGCCCATTGAGCAGTACCGGGCCTGGCTGGGTGAGGCCTGGGGTAACGGGGAGCGGATGGGGGGGGGTTTGGCTGGGGTGGGTGCTGGGTGCTGGGTGCTGGGGACCCCCCCCGGTGACCCCATCCCGGTGCAGATGAGGACAGCAACCTGGAGCCCTCGCCCCTGCCGGAGCTGGACCCCGAGAGCTGCTTCCCCGCGCGCGAGGAGGAGGAGGAGGAGGAAGAGCGCTGGCTCGATGCCCTGGAGAAGGGCGAGCTGGACGACAACGGGGAGCTCAAGAAGGAGGTGGATGAGTCCCTATTGACAGCACGGCAGGTAAAGGGGGGTACCGAGGGGCTCAGTGTGGGGCTGGTCAATGGGGTGGGACGGGGAGCCCCAGAGGGGCTGTGGGGCCGTGGTGCTGACGGTGCCCCCTGTGCCCCGCAGAAAGCGCTCCTGCACAAGCAGCAGAGCCAACCGCTGCTGGAGCTGCCCATGGGCTACAAGGCGAAGGAGCTGACGGAGGAGATGCTGGTGAAGCGGGAGGAGCGGGCGCGGAAGCGGCGCCTGCAGGCGGCCAAGAAGGCGGAGGAGAACAAGAACCAAACCATCGAGCGCCTCACCAAGACCAGCAAGGCCAAGGTGAAGACGCTGCGGGAGCGCCGAGCCCGCCCGGCCCCGTGCCCCGTCGTGCATTACCGCAACGCCGCCGACCGCATCACCGTGTCCTTCCCGGCGGGGATGGCGCTGCCGCTGCTGCCGGCGTCGGTGCCGGCCGTGCCGCCGGGGCCGGTGCTCTGCGGCGTCGCCGGTTGTGGCAATGTGAAGCGCTATTCGTGCTCGCGCTCCGGGCGCCCGCTCTGCAGCCTCGCCTGCTACCGCCGCAACCTGCAGCTCATGGACGCTGCGGCTTAGCCCGGTGCTGGTGGATGTGGGGGCACCGGCGCCTCCGCCATGGACGTGGGGGGCAATGGGGTGGGGGGGGCCCGGGGTGGGTCCCGCGGAGGTCATTAAAGGGTGGTGGTGAAGGAGCCGTGTGTGGATCCACGGGGATGGGGGCGGGCATGGATCCCCCTCCTCACCGGAGCGCTCTGGGGCGCCCGGCTTTGCCCCATACCCTTAATGGGGCAGCTGCCACCCCCAAGCCGGAGGGCAGTGGTACAGCCCGGACCCCCCCCCAATGGGGCATCCTGGCCCCCCCAACCGGGACACAATGGTACAGCCCGCCCCCCCGGGACACAATGGTACAGCCCAGACCCCCACCGGGACACAATAGTACAGCCCAGACCCCCACCGGGACACAATGGTACAGCCTGCCCCCCCCCACCGGGACACAGTGGGACAGCCCGCCCCCCCACCGGGACACAATGGGACATCCTGGCCTCCCTACGGGACACAATGGGACAGCCCCTCCCCACGGGGACACAATGGTACAGCTTGCCTCCCCCCAGCGGGACACAATGGTACAGCCCAACCCCCCCCCCCCCGGGACACAATGGGACAGCCCGGCCTCCCCCCGCTCCCGCGCAGTGGTACCGCCCGCTCCCCCAGGGCGCGTTATGGTACAGCCCTTGTGGGCGAGGCACCGGCAAGGGCCCTACGGTACCTCCCATTGGCTGGGGTCCCGCCACGAAGAGATCGGCGGTGCTGATTGGTTGGACGCTGCGCCAATTACTAGCTTACGTATGGCATTGGTAGGGCTCTCCCGAAGGAGCTCCCTGAGGGCGGGCCCGTTGGGGGAGCGGCAGGGCTGCGCTCCTATTGGCCGGCTCCGTTGTCAGTCATGGCCGAGGGGCGGGGCTCTACGCGCGGTTGGCGGCAGCGGCCGCCAATCCGGTCGGGGGGCGGGGCTCAGTCCCTTTGTCTCTGTTGTTGGGCGTGACTGTGGGGCAGACGACTCCCGATTGGCGGAGGCAGGGCGGCGGCGGCGGCTCCGATTGGCTGAGGGCGTCGAGTCGGCGTCCGATTGGTCAGGGTGAGGCGGCAGCGGGCGGGTGCTGGGGCCCGGGCGCGATGGCGGCGGCGGAGGCTGCGGCCCGGGCAGCGGCGGCGGCTGCGGGCGCGATGGCGACAACGGCGGGGGGGGCGCGGCGGCGTCGGCGGGCGGCGGCGGGGGCCGGGGCCGGGACCGGGCCCGGGGGCGGGCTGTAGAGCGCCATGGAGCGGCCCGGCGGCGGCGCGGGGGGCTGGGCTGCGCTGCTGGGCCGGCAGCAGCCGCAGGTACCGCGGGGCGCGGCGGGGGGCCTAGGCCGGGGCCTGGGGCCTGCGGCCTCCGTGACCGCGCGTCTGTGCCCGCAGGCGCGGGAGCACTGCCCGGGCGTCAACAACCGGCCCTACGTGTGCGAGAGCGGGCACTGCTGCGGGGAGAGCGGCTGCTGCACCTACTACTACGAGCTGTGGTGTGAGTGCGGGGCCGGGCTTGGGGGGGGGTGCCCGGGGGGCCCGGCTGACCCCGCTCCGTTCCGCTCCGTTCATCCCCGTAGGGTTCTGGTTGCTCTGGACCATCCTGATCCTGCTGAGCTGCTGCTGCGCCTACCGGCACCGCCGCGCCAAGCTCCGCCTGCAGCAGCAGCAGCGGCAGCGGGAGATCAACCTCATCGCCTACCACGGGGCCTGCAGCTACCCCGCCTCCATGATGGACCTCAGTGAGTGACGGGCACCGGACCCGCAGCAGCCCCCCCCCATCCTCCTCCTGCAGCCCCCCCATTCCCTCCCACATCATCCCCCTGCCCTCCCCTTACCCCTTCCGCATCCCCTTTGGGTCCCCCCTGCACCCCTCTTGTCCTTCCCTGGCCCCTCACATCCCTCTGGCATCCCCTCAGTGCTCCTCGTTCTCCTTTACCCCCCATGTCCCCCCCATCACATTCCACATCCTCCCTAAGCCCCCCCCTTCCCCTCTTGCATCCCTCCCCTGCATCCCCCCTGCATCCCCGCACCTCTGCCCCAGGCCCCATTCCAGTTCCACCCCCCCCAGCACCCACACCCCATGGGGGTGCCCTGCCCTGAGCCCCCCCCTTCCCCTCTTGCATCCCCCCTGCATCCCCGCACCTCTGCCCCAGGGCCCCATTCCAATTCCACCCCCCCCAGCACCCACACCCCATAGGGGTGCCCTGCCCTGAGCCCCCCCCCGTTCCCCCACGCAGGGCTCTTGGCCTCCTTCAAGCTGCCGGCCTACGAGGAGGTCGCGCGCGGCCCCGGTTCCCCGCCGCCGCCGTACAGCCCGGTGCTGGCACCGCGCAGCAGCAGCCTCAGCTCCGAGCGCTGCAGCAGCTGCTCCTGCGGCTCCAGCTGCGCCACGTCCCCCAGCAGCACGTCCCTATCGGCACCGGCCACGGACGCCACCAGCACCCCCAGCGACGGCACCGGCACCGGCAGCACCGGCACCGCGGGCAGCTGGGAGCCCCCGCGGCTCCACGGCCTCTTCTCCTCCAGCACGGAGCTGTGCGAGGCGGAGGCGCAGCCCTGCTCCGACACCGACGAGGACGGTGCCGCGCCACGGGACCGGGGCACCGGCGGCACCGGGGAGCACTTCCGGCACCGGCGCCTCACCGGGGACTCCGGCATCGAGGTGGGACGGTGCCAGGAGGAGGAGGAGGAGGGTGAAGGCTCCCGTCTGCTGGGCAAGGCCGGCCCCACACCCCCGCCCCCCTGCAGCGATGGGCCCGGCTCCCCAGTGCTGCCCATCTGAGCCCGCCCCGGTGCTGCCCCACGGCTCCCCCCGGCACGGGGCGGCGCGCCCGGGTCCTGGACTCTCCTATGGAGCCCCCGGGGGGGCCCCTTGCCCCATCAGCTCCCCCCCCCCACACCCCAGCACCCATTGAGCCCGAACTGGTGCCCATGGCGGGGGGGGGAAACCGGTCACATCTGTAGCATTGTGTCGCCATTAAAGAGGTGTGGCTGTACTGGGAGCACTGGGGAGCACCATGGGTTGGTTGTGACCCCCAGGAAACGCACCCACAGGCCATGGAGACGGGGGGGGGGTAGAGGTTTATTACGGGGAGCCCCACAGCCCCCCAGGCACCTGAGTCAAGGCCGAGCCGCACCGGCACCATCAATAGTCCTCGGCCATCACCAGCACCACCAGCGCGGTCCAACCGGCGAAGGGGCGGCAGCCCTGGCCGCGCCCGGAGCTGTCGCTGTAGTGCTCCCATAGGAAGCCGCTCTCGGCGTGCTGCCGGTACACGTTGGCGATGAGGTTGTGCCGCAGCTCCCGGTAGAGCCGAGCGGCGCGCTCCCGCTGCGGCCCCTCGGTGCCGGCGTAGCCGTGCAGCGCCCGCAGCGCCAGGAAGTTGATGTTGAGCCAGACGGAGCCGCGCCAGTACGGGGGGTCGTGCTGCGTGTTGGGCCGCAGGTAGAAAGCGCTGTCCCTTGCCAGCGACCGTAGCCCAAAGGGCGACCAAAGCTGCCTCTCGCTGCGCATTGCGGCCAGCACCGCCGGCAGGCGCGGTGAATCCGGCCGCAGCAGCTGCAGCAGCACCGGGAACAGGCTCACGTAACCCAAGGCGTCCACAAAGCGCAACCGCGGCGCTTCCCGCACCTCCCGCACCAACCGCGGCGCCTGCCCCGGTGCTGCGGGCGCTGGGTGCTGCCAGCGCAAAGCCACGGCCGCGCTGTGGTTGCCGTAATCGGCGAAGGCGCCGAGCTCCGGCGCCCAATGCAGCCGCTCCAGGAGCTCGTTGTCGCCGAGCGCCCGCGCCGCGGCACCGAACGGCTCCACCGGTTGGCCCAAGCGCTCGGCCAGCGCCGCCAGGACGCGGGCGCCCAGCGCCATCCAGCACCGTAGGTCCAGGTGCCGCTCATGCGGGGACGGGTGGGAAGCACGGGGGTAATCATCGAGCCCCGATGCCAAGGTTTTGGGGTTCAGGAAGCGCTCGTGCTCGGCGTCGCGCCCGCGCCACCGGAAGCTCAGCGGCTCCGGCCCGGCTTGGGTGCGGTTGAACCACGCGTACCAGGCGCAGAGGCGCGGGAAGAGGCGCTGCAGGAAGGGCCGTGGCGCCGCCGGGAGCAGCCGCTCGAGCGCCAGCAGCAGCGTCGGGGGGTTCCCGGTGTCGCCGCGCTGCAGCACGAACTCGGGGGGCACCTTGGCCCGCGCCTCCTCCCCTAGGATCTGCTCCCGCGGGATCCAGCCCTCGGCGTTCATCAGGTCCAACCAATGCGCCAGCACCTCGAGGCTCAGCGCCGGGTCCCAGCGCGCCACCAGCAGCTGGTGGAAGCCCTCGTCCCATAGGAAACCGCGCGGGAAGAAGGAGCGCGAGGGGACGGCGGTGAAGAGCGCGGCTTCGGCACCGGGCACCGCGCGCTCGCCCGGCGCCGCCTGCACCAAGGAGCGCCCATGGAAGTACCCGATGCCGCCCAGCACCTCGCTGAGCGCCGCCTGCGCAAAGCGCTGCTGCGGGGCCGTGAAGCCCTTCCCCGCCAGCCCGAAGGTGGCCTCGAAGCGGTGCCGGAAGGCGGCCTCGTGCCGGGCCAGCGCCGCCGAGAGAGCGGCTCCCATGAGCGGCACCGGTGCCGGCGCCGCGCTGCCGGACTCGAACATCACCTCCACGGCGGCCGGCGGCTCCAGCGTCACCTGGTGCAGCAGCACCCGCCCACGGGGGGGGGCACCGGGGAGGCCTCCAGATGGGGACACGGCGAAGAAGCGGCGCCGCGGGCGCGCCGGTGCCGAGAAGACGGCGCTGGGGGTGAGGCTGCTCCGCACCAGCTCCGTCAGGCGGTGCAGGCCCGGGCTGGGCGCCTCCAACCAGTTGTAACTGGGGGGGGGGGAGAGGCCGTCAGGGATGGGGGGACACAAGGAGCGGGTGCACAAGGGGGCGCGGCGGTGCCGTACCTGGCGGGTTTGGGGTCCTGCGAGCCCGGCGCCGTGGGGCGCAGGAAGCGGAGGGTGAAGCCCCCCAGCTCCTCCGTTGTCCCCCTGACGGCCGCCAAACGGGAGCCGTTCTCCAGCCGCGGCTCCAGCGTGCCCTGCCCGTCGGTGGCCGCGTAGAAGAAGAGGGAGAGGAGGGCAGGGGGGGCGCTGGCGTTCTGTGCGGGGAGGTGGGAATGGGGTCGGGGAGTGGCGCAGGGACCCCTTGCATAGGGAGCCCCTGTGGGCAGTGCTGGATCTGTGGGGCAGTGCTGGATCTATGGGGCAGGGCAGGATCTATGGGGCTGTGCTGGATCTGTGGGGCAGTGCTGGATCTCTGGGGCAGTGCTGGATCTATGGGGCAGGGCAGGGGCATGGGGCTGTGCTGGATCTATGGGGCAGAGCATGGGGCTGTGCTGGATCTCTGGGGCAGTGCTGGATCTATGGGGCAGTGCTGGATCTATGGGGCAGTGCTGGATCTATGGGGCAGTGCTGGATCTCTGGGGCAGTGCTGGATCTATGGGGCAGGGCTGGATCTATGGGGCAGTGCTGGATCTCTGGGGCAGGGCTGGATCTATGGGGCAGAGCAGGGGCATGGGGCTGTGCTGGATCTATGGGGCAGGGCTGGATCTATGGGGCAGTGTTGGATCTATGGGGCAGGGCTGGATCTATGGGGCAGGGCAGGATCTATGGGGCTGTGCTGGATCTGTGGGGCAGTGCTGGATCTCTGGGGCAGTGCTGGATCTATGGGGCAGGGCAGGGGCATGGGGCTGTGCTGGATCTATGGGGCAGAGCATGGGGCTGTGCTGGATCTCTGGGGCAGTGCTGGATCTATGGGGCAGTGCTGGATCTATGGGGCAGTGCTGGATCTATGGGGCAGTGCTGGATCTCTGGGGCAGTGCTGGATCTATGGGGCAGGGCTGGATCTATGGGGCAGTGCTGGATCTCTGGGGCAGGGCTGGATCTATGGGGCAGAGCAGGGGCATGGGGCTGTGCTGGATCTATGGGGCAGGGCTGGATCTATGGGGCAGTGTTGGATCTATGGGGCAGGGCTGGATCTATGGGGCAGAGCAGGGGCATGGGGCTGTGCTGGATCTATGGGGCAGGGCTGGATCTATGGGGCAGTGCTGGATCTATGGGGCAGGGCATGGGGCATGGGGCAGTGCTGGATCTATGGGGCAGAGCAGGATCTATGGGGCAGGGCATGGGGCAGTGCTGGATCTATGGGGCAGTGCTGGATCTATGGGGCAGGGCAGGGGGCATGGGGCTGTGCTGGATCTATGGGGCAGTGCTGGATCTATGGGGCAGTGCTGGATCTATGGGGCTGTGCTGGATCTATGGGGCAGGGCAGGGGCATGGGGCTGTGCTGGATCTCTGGGGCTGTGCTGGATCTATGGGGCAGTGCTGGATCTATGGGGCAGTGCTGGATCTATGGGGCAGTGCTGGATCTCTGGGGCAGGGCTGGATCTATGGGGCAGTGCTGGATCTATGGGGCAGTGCTGGATCTATGGGGCAGTGCTGGATCTCTGGGGCAGGGCTGGATCTCTGGGGCAGTGCTGGATCTCTGGGGCAGGGCAGGGCCATGGGGCTGGGGCACCGGCGCGCTCCCGGCTGTAGCAGGAGGGGAGCAGGGGCTGGGCTGGGGGCGCAGCACTGGGGGAGCAGGGTCGCATCCCCAGCGGTTGGGAGGGAGGGAGCTGGAAGCTCCAATGCAGCCCCAGTCCCTGCCATGGGGAGCACTGGAGCAGCCCCTGTGGCCTTGAGCACTGCAGGGATGGGGCAGCCCCAGCTTCACCCCATTCCCATGGCCCAGCACCCTCATAGGGGAGAACTCCCCTGGATCCCACCCAACTCTTCCCTCTTCCAGCCTGGAGCCCTCATCCCATCCCTGCATCCCTTGGCCCAAGCTTCCCTGCACCCCTTTAGGCACTGGGGCTGCTCTGAGCTCCCCCCTTCAGGACCCTTCTCCAGGCTGCCCCAGCCCTGCAGCACCCCCATGGCCTCCCCATCCCCACCCCCACCCTCACCTCCATCCTCGCCGTCACCCTCCAGCTCCAGTCCCCTCCGTGCTCCCCTCCGGGGCTCTTCACGAACTCGGTTCTCAGCTCCACGGCCCCGTCCCTGATCTCCTGCGCCCCGAAGCTCTCCCCGTCGTGCATCACCCACCCGTAGCGCCCGAGCCCGTCGCTCTCCTCGCACGTGTGCCGCAGGCCGCCGCCTCCCTCCTGCTGCTGCAGCCACATCAGCCCTGCCGGCAACGGGCCCTCAGTGCCGTTATCCCCGCCCGGGTTCGGTTCCCCCCCACACCACCCCGGCCGCCGCTCTCCCGTTACCGGTAACGAGCGCCCTGGGGCTGCGCGTCTTCATCCCGAAGTACACGTTAGGCCGGTACGTGCCCCAGAACAGCCGCGGTGACCGGAGGGCGCCGGTGGAGCCGGGCGGCAGCGCGGGCGGGGCCGGGTGCGGGCTGACGAGGCGGGAGGCCGCGCTCCACCGGCTCCATTGGGCCGCAAACCACAGAGCGGCGGCGGTAGCGAGGGCCACGGCGGCCACGGCGAGCGCGGGGCGGCCCCGACCCAAACCCAGGCCCCGCCGCTGCTCTCGGGGCTCCCGCTCCCTCCGAGGCCCCCGCGGCCGCTCCCGAGCCCCGTCCCCGCCGCGCCGCCGCCGCTCCCCCGCCATGCTGCGGCGGCGCCGGGAGCGTCATCGCGGAGCGACGGGGCGGTGCGATAGCGCCCCCTGGTGGGCGGGAGGATTGACAGCAGGCTAAGGCACCGCAGAGCCCCCCCCACCACCCAGGCACGGAGCCCTTCGCTGTGTGCCCATGGATGGGGGGCTCTTGGGTACGAGGGTTTGGGGGGCACAAGCTCAGGACCCCCCCAAACCCCCATTGTGGTGGGGGGCGATGCCCGGTGACAGCCCCCGGTCACTGCTTGACCTCTCCGGTGTCGCCCTCTGCAGATGAGGATGAAGAGGGGCAGCCCCTCGGGTCCGGTGTCCCCCGGTGCCCCCCCCCTCTCCCCCCGCACGGGACTCGGAGCCGGTCCCGGTCCCGTTCAGGGTTTATTGCCCGGAGGGGTCGCGGATGCAGGGGAGCCCCGGGAGCCGCCACCGCCGAGCGCGGTGCAGCCTCAGCGCCAGCCACTGCTGCTGCTGCGGGCCCGACGGGCAGGACCCGGGCACCCCGGAGCGCGCCGGCCCCGCGGCACCGGCAGGGAACGGGGAGGGAGGCACCGGCACCGGCACCGGAGGCTCCAGCGTGTCCAGGCCCTGCGGGGTCCCCGCTGCCGGCTCCGGGGGGCGGGAGCCGTTGTCCGAGCCTGGGGGGGGGGGGGAGGAGGGGATGGAGATGGGGGGGCCCCGGCCCCACGCGCTCCATGAGACCATGGCCGGGACTGGGATGGGCACAGCCCGTGGGGGGATGGGCACAGCCCGTGGGGGGATGGACCCGGCCCAGTCCCCATCGCATCCTCGTCCCCACCCGTCCCTGCCCTGACCGCATCCCCATGGCCCCAACCTCAGCCCCATCTGATCCCATCTCCATCCCCTCCCCATCCACATCCCTGGCTCCATCCCATCCCCATCCCCATGATCCCCATCCCCATGTCCCCATCCCCACCCTTGTCCCTATCCCATATCCATCCCCAACCTATCCCCATCTCCATCCTCATCCCCACCCATCCTCATCCCCACCCTGTTCCCATCCCTGTTGACCATCTCATCCCATCCCATCCCCATTGTAACCCCCATCCCCATCCCATCCCCATCCCATCCCCATCCCATCCCCATCCCATCCCATCCCCATCCCATCCCCATCCCATCCCCATCCCCATCCCATCCCATCCCCATCCCATCCCCATCCCCATCCCATCCCCATCCCATCCCCATCCCATCCCCATCCCATCCCATCCCATCCCATCCCCATCCCATCCCATCCCCATCCCCATCCCCTCCCCATCCCATCCCCATCCCCATCCCCATCCCCATCCCATCCCCATCCCCATCCCCATCCCCATCCCATCCCCATCCCCATCCCCATCCCCTCCCCATCCCATCCCCATCCCCATCCCCATCCCCATCCCCATCCCCATCCCCATCCCCATCCCATCCCCATCCCATCCCCATCCCCATCCCCATCCCCATCCCATCCCCATCCCCATCCCATCCCATCCCATCCCCATCCCCATCCCCATCCCCATCCCATCCCCACCCCCATCCCCATCCCCATCCCATCCCCATCCCCATCCCCATCCCCATCCCCATCCCATCCCCATCCCCATCCCATCCCCATCCCCATCCCCATCCCCATCCCCATCCCCATCCCATCCCCATCCCCATCCCCATCCCCATCCCCATCCCATCCCCATCCCATCCCCATCCCATCCCCATCCCCATCCCCACCCCATCCCCACACCCACAGCAGTGCCTGAGGCTGTTCCAGGGCCGTGCTCGGGCTCTGCCCGTGGCTCCGGGCTGCTGCAGGAGGCACCGGATGGCTCCGTCCATCCGCTGGAAGGCGCCCAGGGCCGCCAGCTCCCGCCGGGCCTCCGGGGCCAGCCCGGAGCGCTCCGAGGCCACGAGCTCCCGCACCAGCTCCAAGTCCTGCCGGAGCTGCAGCGCCCCCTGCAGGCTGCGGGCGGCGCGCTCAGCGGGGCCGCGGCGCCCCCGCTCCCGGCCCCGGTGCCCCGGTCCCGGCCCCGGTGCCGTACCTGAAGCGGATGCGGTGCTCCAGGATGTGCTCCATCCACGCCTCCAGGAAGGCCGTGGTGCCCCCGGCCATGGCGGGGGCCTGCGCGTCCCGGGGCAGCAGCCGCGCTCCCTGCAGCACCTGCCCCAGTACCGCCTGCGCTGCTGCTGCTGCGTACGCACTGGGGCCACTGGGCAGCTCTGGGTACGGAAACAGCGTCAGGGCTGCCTGTGCTGCTGCCTGTACCCTGTGCTGCTGCCTGTACCCTGCTGCCTGCACCCTGTGCTGCTGCCTGCACCCTGCGCTGCTGCTGCTGCGTACGCACTGGGGCCACTGGGCAGCTCTGGGGCACGGCAACAGCGTCAGGATTGACTGTGCTGCTGCCTGTACCCTGCTGCCTGTACCCTGCACCCTGCGCCCTGTATCCTGTACCCTGCGCTGCTGCTGCTGCGTACGCACTGGGGCCACTGGGCAGCTCTGGGTACGGAAACAGCGTCAGGATTGACTGTGCTGCTGCCTGTACCCTGTGCTGCTCCCTGCACCCTGTGCTGCTGCCTGTACCCTGCTGCCTGCACCCTGCTGCCTGTACCCTGTACCCTGCGCTGCTGCTGCTGCGTACGCACTGGGGCCACTGGGCAGCTCTGGGTACGGAAACAGCGTCAGGATTGACTGTGCTGCTGCCTGTACCCTGTGTGCTGCCTGTACCCTGCTCCCTGCACCCAACAGTGCTGCCTGTACCCTGCGCTGCTCCCTGCACCCTGTACTGCCTCCTGCACCCTGTGCCCTGCACCCTGTGCTGCTGTTTGCACCCTGCACCCAGCGCTGCTCCCTGCACCCTGCGCTGCTGCCTGCACCCTGCACCCAGCACCCCGCTCCGTGCCTGCAGGCGCTGCCCGCGCCGGGGCTCCCAACGCACCGGGCCGCAGGGGGCTCCTCCAGTGCTTGCCCCGGGGCATGGTCCGGTGGAAGATCTGCGCCGCCATCCGCTTGCAGCCCACGGAGAACACGCTCAGCACCTCCCCTGCAAGGAACTGCGGCGGGGGGGCATGGGATGGGATGGACGTGGCACAGCATGGAGCAGCATGAGCACATAGCCACAGCATGACACAACACAACACACCAACACCAACACACAACACAACACAACACACCAAGCACAGCATGGAGCAGCATGGCACAGCACAGCATGGCACAGCACAGCATGGCCACAGCATGGAGCAGCATGGCTGCAGCATGGCCATAGCACAGCATGGAGCAGCATGGCACAGCCACAGCATGGCCATAGCACAGCATGGCACAGCCACAGCATGGCCACAGCATGGCACAGCCGCAGCAGGCCACAGCACCAACACACACACAACACACACACACACACACAACACACACACACCCACACCACACACAACACACACAACACACACCACACCACACACACACACACACAGCACAGCAGGGCACAGGTGCAGCAGGGCATAGCACAGCATCGCTGCAGCATAGCACAGCATGGCCATAGCATGGCACAGAGCGGCCACGGCCCAGGTCCCAGAAGCGCGCACCTGGATGCTGGCGGCCATGGCGCGGATGAGCCGGCAGAGCTGCAGCTCCTGGGGGGGCAGCGGGGGGGAGGCAGCCCCCGGCTCCGGGAAGGGCCCGTTCAGCACCAGCACCAGCTCCTCCGTCTCCATCCGCAGCAGCTGGGGCACAGGGGAGGGGTGGGGAAGAGGGGGAGGGGGAGGGGGAGGGTTAGGGTTAGCCCCACAGCAGCCCCACAGCAGCCCCACGGCAGCCCTATAGCAGCCCCATGGCATCCCTATGGCAGCCCCACAGCAGCCCCACGGCAGCCCCACAGCAGCCCCACGGCACCCCTATAGCAGCCCCACGGCAGCCCCACGGCAGCCCCACGGCAGCCCCACAGCAGCCCCACGGCAGCCCCATAGCAGCCCCACGGCAGCCCCACGGCAGCCCCATAGCAGCCCCGCAGCATCCCTATGGCAGCCCCACAGCAGCCCCACAGCATCCCTATGGCAGCCCCACAGCAGCCCCATGGCATCCCTACAGCAGCCCCACAGCATCCCTATGGCATCCCTACAGCAGCCCCACGGCAGCCCCACGGCAGCCCCACAGCATCCCTATGGCAGCCCCATACAGCCCCACGGCATCCCTATGGGAGCCCCACAGCACCCCTATGGCATCCCTACAGCAGCCCCACGGCATCCCTATGGCAGCCCCATACAGCCCCACGGCATCCCTATGGCATCCCTACAGCAGCCCCACGGCAGCCCCACAGCATCCCTATGGCAGCCCCATACAGCCCCACGGCATCCCTATGGGAGCCCCACAGCACCCCTATGGCATCCCTACAGCAGCCCCACAGCATCCCTATGGCAGCCCCACAGCACCCCTATGACAGCCCCACAGCACCCCTATGGCGCCCCTATGGCAGCCCTATAGCAGCCCCACAGCAACCCTATGGCAGCCCCACGGCAGCCCCATGGCAGCCCCACAGCATCCCTATGGCAGCCCCACAGCAGCCCCGCAGCATCCCTATGGCAGCCCCACGGCATCCCTATGGCAGCCCCACAGCAGCCCCATGGCAGCCCCACAGCAGCCCCACAGCATCCCTATGGCAGCCCCACAGCACCCCTATAGCACCCCAGAAGCCACCCCCGCGGCGCCGGTACCTGCAGGTCCCCCTGGGTGAGGAGCAGGAACTGGGGCAGGGCCCAGGCCGCCAGGTACCTGCGGGCTCTGCCGCTGAGCCACGCGTGCGCCGCCTGCAGCGTGGCCACGCAGCAGCCCAGGACCTGCAGGCGCAGGCAGGGGGGCCCCGCAGGCAGCTCCGGGGGCGGGGGGGGCTGAGCCGTGGGGCAGGACCCGCAGTGCCCGGGCTGCGGGCGCAGGCAGCGCAGGGCCAGGGCCAGCCCCGGGTACAGGCGCTGCAGCAGCGCCGCTGTGCGGCTCCGCACCGCGCCCGACCCCGGCTCCGCCGCCCCGCAGCAGCTGTCGGAGAGAGCCGAGCCCAGCGCGCGGGTGAAGCCTGCGGGGACACGGCCGGTAGCGGCACGGATCCCATCCCGCACCCCACGGATCCCATCCCGCGCCCCACGGCTCCCGTCCCGCACCCCGTACCCAGAACCCCCATACGGGCGGTAGCCCCATGACTCCCATCCCGCACCCCGCGGCTCCCATCCCGCACCCCGGGGCTCCCGTCCCGCGCCCCACGGATCCCATCCCGCGCCCCACGGCTCCCGTCCCGCACCCCGTACCCAGAGCCCCCGTACGGGCAGTAGCCCCATGGGTCCCGTCCCGCACCCCACGGCTCCCATCCCGCACCCCACGGCTCCCGTCCCGCACCCCACGGATCCCATCCCGCACCCCACGGATCCCATCCCGCACCCCACGGCTCCCATCCCGCACCCCGCGGCTCCCATCCCGCACCCCACGGCTCCCGTCCCGCACCCCACGGCTCCCGTCCCGCACCCCGCGGCTCCCACCCCGCACCCCGCGGCTCCCATCCCGCACCCCCCGGCTCCCATCCCGCACCCCACGGCTCCCATCCCGCGCCCCACGGCTCCCGTCCCGCACCCCACGGCTCCCATCCCCACCCCGTGGCTCCCGTCCCGCACCCCACGGCTCCCATCCCGCACCCCATGGCCCCCATCCCGCACCCCGCGGCTCCCGTCCCGCACCCCGCGGCCCCCATCCCGCACCCCGTACCCGGTACCCCCGTACCTGTGTCCCAGCTCCGCAGCGCTCCCCAGCACAGCAGCCTCCGGCTGAGCCGCTCCAGCTCCTCCCGGTACTCCCGGGGCTCAGTCCCTGCATGGGGACGGGACCGGTTGTCAGGGGCCACCGGGAGCACCCCCGGTACCGGCCCCCTCCGCGGTCCCCACGCACCGGCCCCGATGGCGCCGCTCAGCTCCGCTCCGTGCCCCAGCGCGGCGCTAACGGCGCTCCAGAACAGCGGCCGGTACCGTGCGAGCAGGGCCTGGGCCCCCGGTACCGGTGCCCAAGCGGCAGAGCCCGGCTCTTGGGGCTTGTCCTTGGGTCCGTGGAGCTGGGGGCTGCCGGGTGAGGCCCCGAGCAGGAGCCCCAGGAGCTCCTCATCCTCCCTGCACAGCGCCCGCAGCGCCATGGGGCAGGGACCCGCATCCGCCGCGGAACCGAGCTCCGGTGACCGGGGCACCGCGGTGCCCTCCGAGCGCACGGGCTCATCCCCACCAGCACCGGCCCCGGGCCGCGGCTGCAGGAAGGGCCGGAGCCGCTCGGCCGCCAGGCGGCCCCGCTCGGCTGCCAGGACCCGCAGCACCCGGGACACCGGGAATGTGCGGGACGCGGCTCCGGTAGCACCGGGACGGGCGGCGGAAGGGCCCAGCTCCGGCTCCAGCTCAGCCACGGCCCGGTTGTAGATGGCCAAGGCCTGGAAGAGGTCGGAGAGCAGCGCCGGGAGGGCCGCGGCGGCACCGGGGGTCCGGGCCAGCGCCCGCAGCCGCGCCTCGGCGAGGAGCTCCGCCAGGCCCAGCGCCTGCAGCGCCTGCAGCACCAGCGCCCGCCGCATGTGCGCCACCGCCTCCCCCCGCTGCAGCACCAGCGCCCGCAGCCACGGGTCCCCCCGCAGCCGCCGCCGCAGCGCGCTCCAGTGCCCGCTGTGCGCCCGCAGCTCCCGGAACAGCTCCCGCAGCCGCGGCCCCGCTCCGGGCTCCGGTACCGGCTCCTGCAGCAGCGCCAGCAGCCGGCGGAGGAAGCGGGAGGCGGCGTGGAGCCGCCGGGTGTAGTCACGGGCGAGGCAGAGGAGGTGGCGGTGCCGCAGCAACGCGTGCAGGGCCGCGCCGCGCTCGGCCACGCGTGGGTGAACCGGGTGGAACGAGAAGGCCGCGCCGGTGGTGACGGCGGCGCCGGGGTCGGTGTCGGCGGGAGGCGGCCGCACGTGGCCGTGGAAGGTCTCGGTGCGCGGATCCTCCCGGACGCGGAGGCAGCGGCGCAGCCCCGGGAAGCTCCGCTCCAGCGGGATCAGGAGCGCGGAGGCCTCCGCTTCATCCTCGTCCTCATCCTCGTCCTCGCTGCCGGGGCCGCGCCGCCGGGGCCGCGGGGGGAGCAGGCGCCGCAGACCGGGGCTCACGCAGCCGCGCAGCATCGCCTCGGCCTTCCGCAGGGAGCGGGACAGGGGCCCCCCGGTGCTGCTGCCTGCGGGGAGCGGGACCCTCGGTGCGGGACCCCCAGCCCCTCTCCGCACACTCTGGGGTGCCGCAGCCCCGCTCGCACCGCACGGACACGTTCATTGCACCCGGCCCCGGCCCTCACCTGGCTCCGGGGGTGCCCCGCGGGGAGCCCCGTCCCCGGGCAGGGCCGGCAGCAGCAGCGGGACGAGGCCGCCGGCGCCGGCGACATCGCGGACAGGGACCTGCGGGAGCGCGGGCGGTCAGAGCCGGGAGGGGCGGGACTAACGCGGAAGGGGGCGTGGCCTGAGCGCTGTTCCCGCCCCTCGCCTTTGGCAGCCGCGGAGTCGCCCTCGTGGCCACGCCCCCCCGATCAGACCACGCCCCCCCGGGGGCCGTTGCCAGGGAGACGCTAAACGCGGCTCGGGCCTAGCCCACGCACCGGGCCCGGGCCCCGCCGGTGCCCCCGGTGATGGGGCTGATCCCGGGGCTCCGCGCCCGCTCGGGGCCTCACCTGCGGGCAGGGCTCCGCGCCGCGCCGCTCACGGCCGCCGTCCTCCATGCTGGGCCATGGCCGGGGGCGGTGGGAGGAAAGAGGCTTAGGCCGCGCCCGCGCTAATCCGGAGGAACGGGCAGGGCTGACCTGGCGGGAGGTCAGCGCCGGGGCGCCCGGCGCGGGGCGGCTCCGGAGCAGCGGGACTCGGCCGGGACCGCGGCTCCAGGGGCGGCGGGGCCGGCGGAAGCGGCCGCGGAGCCGCGGCGCTGCTCGGTACGGACCTCGCGGGCCGCCGTCCTGCCAGCACCCAGCATGGCGGCGGGGCGGCCCCGGCAGGCGCCGTGCCCCACTTCCGGTCCGCCCAGTGCCCCTCTTCCGGTCCTCCTTGGGCCCCGTTGGCGGCGTGGGGCGATGCGGGAAGCGGGCGGGGAGCGCAGCCCGGGGCTGGGCCCCTCCGGGAGCGGGGCTGCCCCCGCCGCCTGTCCCTGGGGCTGCGTGCTCGGTCCCGGCGGCTGGAGCGGCGGTACGGGGGGGGGGAGGGGGGCGGTGGGACCGAGGGGCGGGTTGGGGGGCACGGGAGGGGGAGGCTCCTCGCGGGGGGGCGGAGCCTACCCCGGCTCCGCCCCCGCTCCGCTCTGGCTCCGCCCCCGCTGGGTTTCGCTTTCGGTTTCGTTACGCGCGGCTCCGCTCCCCGCAGCTCCGTTCTGCCCCCGCCACTGCCCGCCCGACCTCAGCGCCATGGGCGACGGGACCGGGGCCTGGGACGCGCTCGGCCGCGGTGAGTCGGGGGGGGAGCCGCGGTGCGGGCTGCGGGGGTCCCGGTGCAGCGGAGCTGCCGCTGACGGCCCCGGTTCTGTCCGAGCAGGTCCCGGCTTCTGGTACTGCCCCGCGCGGCTGGAGGCGTCCAGCGAGGAGGAGGAGGAGGAGGAAGATGAGGAGTATGAGGAGTTCCCGTGGTCGTGGTCGTTGTCGTGGCCCGGGGCCTTTCCCGGTGCGGTTCCCGTCGGTGTTCCCGGTGTGGTTCCCGGTGCGGTTCCCGGTGCTGACGGCGACCCCGGCGCCACCTTCTGCGGGCTCCGCAAAGCGTTTCTGGTGCAGGAGCCGCTGCGGCCGCCCCCGAGCGCGCTGGAGGCGAAGCTGCGCTGGCTCCCGGCCCCGCGGGAGCTCCGGCCCACGGCAGAGGTGCGGGGCCCGCAGGCGGGGGTAGGGGGGGGCAGCTCCCGGGGCGCTGGAGGCTCCCGGTGTCTCCGTCCCTCCCTCCCCAGGAAGCGGAGCGGAACGCGCAGGAGCTGGTGGCGGAGGAGGAGCGGGTGAAGAGGAAGGCGGAGAAGAAGAAGCTGAAGAAGAAGGTGGGTGCCCGGGGGGGCTCTGTGCCGGGGGCGGGGCTCCGTGCCGGGGGCGGGGCTCCGTGCCGGGGGCGGGGCTCCGTGCCGGGGGAATCTGTGCCGGGGGGCGTGGCTCTGTGCCCGGGGGGCGGGGCTCTGTGCCGGGCGGCTTGGGGCCGGGGGACTCTGTGCCGGGGGGCGGGGCTCTGTGCCGGGGGGCGGGGCTCTGTGCCGGGGGCGGGGCTCTGTGCCGGGGGAGGGGGGCTCTGTGCCGGGGAGCGGGGCTCTGTGCCGGGGGGCGGGGCTCTGTGCCGGGGGGGGGCTCTGCCGGGGGGCGGGGCTCTGTGCCGGGGGGGCGGGGCTCTGTGCCGGGGGGGCGGGGGCTCTGTGCCGGGGGAGGGGGCTCTGTGCCGGGGGGCGGGGCTCTGTGCCGGGGGCGGGGCTCTGTGCCGGGGGCGGGGCTCTGTGTCAAGGCCCGGTTATTCCCTGTGTGCTTCCCTGTTTCCAGAAGCAGAAAGAGAGGAAGAAACGGGAAAAGCTGCAACAGGAGTCCCAGGCCAAGCAGAAGACTGAGCCGGTGGGTGCTGTGGGGCACAGTGGGTGCTGTGGGGCACAATGGGTGCTGTGGGGCACGGTGGGTGCTGTGGGGCACAGTGGGTGCTGCGGGGCACGGTGGGTGATGTGGGACGTAGTGGATGCTGCAGGGCACAATTCATGCTGTGGGGCACAGTGGGTGATGCGGGGCATGGTGGGTGCTGTAGGATGCAGTGGGTCCTGTGGGGCACGGGGGGTGATGCGGGGCACAATGGGTGATGTGGAGCACAGTGAATGGTGTGGGGCACAGTGGGTGCTGCAGGGCACACTGGGTGCTCTGGGGCACAATGGGTGCTCTGGGGCACAGTGGGTGCTGCGGGGCACGGTGGGTGCTGTGGGGCACAGTGGGTGCTGTGGAGCACAGTGGGTGCTGCAGGGCACACTGGGTGCTCTGGGGCACAATGGGTGCTCTGGGGCACAATGGGTGCTGTGGGGCACACTGGGTGCTGCAGGGCACAGTGGGTGATGTGGGACACAGTGGGTGCTGTGGGGCATGGTGGGTGCTGTGGGACACAGTGGGCGCTACAGGGCACAATGGGTGCTGTGGAGCACGATGGGTGCTGTGGGATGCAGTGAGTGCTGCAGGACACGGTGCTGCAGGACGCAGTGGGTGCTGTGGGGCACGATGGGTGCTGCAGGGCACGGTGTGTGCCTGAAGGTGGGTGCCTGAAGGTGGGTGCTGTGGAGGGAGGAAAGGGTCAGATCCCCACTGCCCCCTCTCATTGCAGAGCCCCCCATCCCCGAGCAGCGCTGCAGCCCCCAGGCACCCCCAGGGCAGCGACGCTGAGGAGGAAGAGGGGGCTCGGACCCAGCCCACCCCCGGGGACAGCGCAGCCCCCCCGGGACAGGAGGCCCGGGCAGAGATGGAGGTGAGGGCTCCTGTGGGGCTCCCCATGGTGGCCCTGGGGCTGCACCCCCTCAGCCCCATGGCTGCGGCTCTGCCCTCCCTGCCCCTGCCCCTGCCCCTGCCCGCAGGAGGAGCTGGACCTGAGCTGCACCTTCGTGTTCAAAGCACGCCAGAAAGCGGGGGTGCGGCTCCCGGTGCCCAGCGGGGAGACCCCCCCCGGGCCGGGCCCTGAACGGGGCAGGAGGGCCCCGAGGAAGGTGAGGTGGGACCGGGGATGGGGACCGGAGCATGGGCAGGGGGGGGGCACTGCCTGCGATGGGCACCCAGCGCTGCCTCCCCCATAGGCCCCCCCTGCACCCCCGGACCCCAGCGCCGTGCAGCAGAGCCTGATGCTCGCAGGTCAGTGCTGGGGGGACCCCCCCCCTGCCGTGCTTAGGGGCGGTGCAGCCGCGGTGGCCCCATCCCGCCCCCAACGTGGCCCCGCCCCCAACGTGGCCCCGCCCCCAACGTGGCCCCGTCCCCAACGTGGCCCCATCCCCAACGTGGCCCCATCCCCAACGTGGCCCCGTCCCCAACGTGGCCCCGTCCCCAACGTGACCCCATCCCCAACGTGGCCCCATTCCCAACGTGGCCCCCTCCCCAACGTGGCCCCGTCCCCAACGTGGCCCCGTCCCCAACGTGGCCCCGTTCCCAACGTGGCCCCGTCCCCAACGTGGCCCCGCCCCCAACGTGGCCCCGTCCCCAACGTGACCCCATCCCCAACGTGGTCCCATTCCCAACGTGGCCCCGTCCCCAACGTGGCCCCGTTCCCAGCGTGGCCCCGCCCCGAGCGTGGCCCCGCCCCCAACGTGGCCCCGTCCCCAACGTGACCCCATCCCCAACGTGGCCCCATCCCCAACGTGGCCCCGTCCCCAACGTGGCCCCCCCCAACGTGGCCCCGCAACGGCCCCGTCCCCAACGTGGCCCCATCCCAACGTGGCCCCGTCCCCAACGTGACCCCGTCCCCAACGTGGCCCCGCCCCCAACGTGTCCCCAACGTGACCCCATCCCCAACGTGGCCCCATCCCCAACGAGACCCCACCCCCAACATGGCCCCGTCCCCAACGTGGCCCGCCCCCAGCGTGACCCCATCCCCAACGAGACCCCATCCCCAACGTGACCCCGTCCCCAACGTGACCCCATTTCCAACGTGGCCCCATCCCCAACGTGACCCCGCCCCCAGCGTGGCCCCGCCCCCAGCGTGGCCCCGTCCCCAACGTGACCCCGTCCCCAACGTGACCCCGTCCCCAACGTGGCCCCGTCCCCAACGTGGCCCCGCCCCCAACGTGGCCCCGTCCCCAACGTGGCCCCGTCCCCAACGTGGCCCCGCCCCCAGCGTGGCCCCGTCCCCAACGTGGCCCCGTCCCCAGCGTGGCCCCGCCCCCACCGTGGCCCCGTCCCCAACGTGGCCCCGTCCCCACCGTGGCCCCGTCCCCAACGTGGCCCCGTCCCCAACGTGGCCCCGCCCCCAGCGTGGCCCCATCGCATGGGCTCGGCAGCGGGCGCTCTTCCCCGCACAGGCCAAGGCAACGCGGCCGCGCTGCGGGGCTCCTACCCCGAGGCGGTGCGGGCGTTCACGGCAGCGCTGCAGCTGAACCCCCGCGAGCACCGGTGAGCACCGGATGGGGGGGGCGGCACCGGGAGCGGGGTGACCCCGGGGGTGGCGCAGCCGTGACCGGGGCCGGGCCCCCCCCCCCCCCCGTAGGCTCCTCGGGAACCGGTCCTATTGCTATGAGAAGCTGCAGCGGTACCGGGAGGCGCTGGGGGATGCGGAGCGGGCGCTGGGGCTGCAGCCCCATTGGGCCAAGGGGCTCTTCCGCAAGGGGAAGGCGCTGCGGGGGCTGCAGGTAAGGAGGGGGGGCTGCGGGGTGCAATGGGGGTCAATGGGGATGGGCTCTTCATTGGGGACTGCAGGGATTGGTAATGGGGGACCCCAAGCTCCTTCCCATCCCATCCCAACCCGTTCTATGGTTGATGAGGAGCCGGGGGGCTGCCGAGCTCCCTATGGGGCAGCCATGGGGCAGGGGCTGGGGCCTGCAGGGGGGCTGGGGCTCAGCACCCCTCTGTGGAGCCGGGGGGCTGGGGAGGTCCCCATGGGGCAGGGGCTGGGGCCTGCAGGGGGGCTGGGGCTCAGCACCCCTCTGTGGAGCCGGGGGGCTGGGGAGGTCCCCATGGGGCAGGGGCTGGGGCCTGCAGGGGGGCTGGGGCTCAGCACCCCTCTGTGGAGCCGGGGGGCTGGGGAGGTCCCCATGGGGCAGCCATGGGGCAGGGGCTGGGGCCTGCAGGGGGCTGGGGCTGGCGAGGTCCCCATGGGGCAGGGGCTGGGGCCTGCAGGGGGGCTCGGGCTCAGCACCCCTCTGTGTCCCAGCGCTACGCGGAGGCTGCCCAGGTCTTTGAGGAGCTGCTGCGGCTGCACCGCACTGGGACCAGCACCGGCACCGGCACCGGCGCTGACACCGACACCGATGCAGCCGCGCAGCTGGAGGCCTGCAGGGCACTGCTGCAGGTGAGCGCTGCACCCAGCATCCTCCAATGCACCCCCCAATGCACCCCAATGCACCCAGCACCCCCCAGTGCATCCCCAGTGCACCCAGCACCCCCCAGTGCATCCCCAGTGCACCCAGCATCCCCAATGCATCCCCAGTGCACCCAGCACCCCCCAGTGCATCCCCAGTGCACCCAGCACCCCCCAATGCACCCCCCAACGCACCCCAATGCACCCCAGTGCACTCAGCACCCCCCAATGCACTCAGCACCCCTCAATGCACCCCAGTGCACCCAGCACTCCCCAGTGCACCCAGCACCCCCCAATGCATCCCAGTGCTCCCAACGCACCCCAGTGCACCCAGCACCCCCCAGTGCACCCAGCACCCCCCAACGCACCCCAGTGCACCCAGCACCCCCAATGCAGCCCAGTGCACCCAGCACCCCCCAACGCACCCCAGTGCACCCAGCACCCCCCAATGCACCCCAGTGCACCCAGCACCCCCAATGCATCCCAGTGCACCCAGCAGTCCCAGTGCACCCCAGTGCACCTTGCACCCCTCAACACAGCCCCTCACCCCTTGTATCCCACCCCAGGCCCTGCGCTCCCCAGCCCACCCCCATTCCCAGCACCCCCAATGCACTCCCAGTACCACCCACCCCATCCCCATCCGCAGCTCACTCCCACCCTAACCCCCCCCATCCCATTCCTGGACCCCCACACTACCCCTTGGTACCCTACAACCCATCCCCCAACCCATCCCTGTATCCCAGCACCCCTCACCCAGTCCCTGGCACCCCACAGCCCCCCTTACACCCCCAGCTGCACCCCCCTGGCTCACACCCCATGGTCTGACCTCTCCCCCAACAGCGGAGCAGCCTTGGGGGGGTTCCCCCATCTCCCCCCCCCATCACCCCCCTATCCCCAATGGAGGCTGCGGAGCCGGTGCTGCCCCTCCGGTCCGGTAAGAGACCCCGGTTTGGGGGGGGGGGGCAAAGGGCCGTGGTTTTGGGGGTCTCAGGGGGCCGTTGGGGCTGGGATTGACCCATGGTGTCACAGGGAGCAGCCAGGACCAGGGCAGGGGCATGAGCGGCTTCACCCCCACTGGGAGCTCCAGTATCCAGGCCCAGTGCCAGCCCTCCAGGTACAGCTGAGAATGGGGGGGGCGCAGTCCCGGGGTGCGGAACTGAACCCCAAAACCCCCCCAGTGACCAGCGGTGCCTCGGCAGGGGCTGCTTCCCACTGTGGGTGGGCAACATCACCCCCAGCATCAGCAGGAGCGTGCTGCAGCGCTGCTTCGGACAGTGAGCACGGGGCCCCTGTACCCCCAAACCCCTTCTCCCCTTACCCAAAGCGGGGGTCCCCAATGGAGCTGGGGGTCCCTAACGCTGCCCCCCCCCCAGCTTTGGGGACATCCAATCCATCCGGATGCTGCCTGAGCGCCGCTGCGCCTTCCTCAACTACACCTGCAAGGAGGCGGCCGAAGCGGCCTTCGAGGCCATGAGGGTGAGCGGGGACCCCCGAACCCCCCCTTTCTCTTTGCACCCCCCTTTTCCTCCCTCTCCATTCCCATCTCCCCCCTTCTCATTGCCCCCCCCAGGACTCCCCAGTGGAAGGCACCCTCCTGGCCCTGCAGCTCAAGCACCCATCTCACGCCACCCCGCGCCCACGTTCCTACCGGGAACCCCAATAACCAGGGGGGCCCCCCCACCCTTTGGTGCCTCCTGCCTGCACCCAGCCTGTGCCTTGTCCCCCATTGCGGGCAGCAGGACCGGGCCCCCCCCCCCGGTACCGGGTGCACCGGGAGGGGGGGGGGCCGGGCCGTGTCCCCCCCGCACCCCCCTTCAGGGTCTTGCCCCCTGTGGGGGTTTTAATAAACCGGAACCTCAGCGTCGCGTCCGTCCGGTACCGGCGCCCCGGGGGGGGGGAGGGGATTTAATTACTATGCAAATGAGGCGCGGAGCGGCCGTAATTAATCACTCGTTAGAAGCAATGGAGAGCGGCGGGAGGCGGCGGCGCCGTCAGCCGGAAAATTGGGAACGGCGGGGGGGGGGGGGGGCCCCCGGCATCAGGCGCCGCCCCGAGGCCCCGGTGATGGGCACCGACCCTTCCAAGGATCGGGGAGGGGGGTCCAGGGGGGGGAGCCCCTCGGCATCAGGCGCCGCCTGACACGAGGCTCGGTGATGGGCACCGACCCTTCCAAGGATCGGGGGGGGTCCACGCGGGAGGGGGGGAGCCCCCCGGCATCAGGCGCCGCCCCGAGGCCCTGGTGATGGGCACCGACCCTTCCAAGGATCGGGGGGGGGGGTCCCGCGGGGGGGGGCAGCCCCCTCGGCATCAGGCAGCGCCCCGAGGCCCCGGTGATGGGCACCGACCCTTCCAAGGATCGGGGGATCCACGGGGGGGGGGGAGCCCCTCGGCATCAGGCGCCGCCCAGAGGCCCCGGTGATGGGCACAGACCCTTCCAAGGATCGAGGGAGGAGGAGTCCCACGGGGGGGGGGGGAGCCCCTCGGCATCAGGCGCCGCCCGAGGCCCCGGTGATGGGCACCGACCCTTCCAGGGATCGGGGGGGGATCGCGGGGGGGGGGGAGCCCCCCGGCATCAGGCGCCGCCCCGAGGCCCCGGTGATGGGCACCGACCCTTCCAAGGATCGGGGGGATCCACGGGGGGGGGGAGCCCCTCGGCATCAGGCGCCGCCCCGAGGCCCCGGTGATGGGCACCGACCCTTCCAAGGATCGGGGGGCGATCCACGGGCAGTGCGGGAGGGCAATGAGGACCTGGGGGGGGGGGGAGCCCCTCGGCATCAGGCGCCGCCCCGAGGCCCCGGTGATGGGCACCGACCCTTCCAAGGATCGGGGGGGGATCCACGGGCAGTGCGGGAGCTCAATGAGGACCATGGAGAGGGGGGGGATGCACATGCAGCTATTGTGGGTGCTGTGGGGTAGCAGCCCAGAGGCCACGGGGAGGGGGTATGGGGGGCACTCGGTGTCTCAGTGCTTGGGGGGGGACACATAAAGGTGCTTGGGCTGGTTTATGCGGGGGCAGGGATGTGTTGTGCGGTGATGCAGGCACTGGGAGGCACGGGAAAGGGGGGGGGCAGGATGGGACCCCCCCTTTCCTCCGCCTCCCCCCCCCGTCCCTGTCAGCCCCATCCCGCTCCTGTCGCATCAAACGGGGTCCCCCGGGACGTTCCCAGGCGTTCCTAGAGGCGCAATCTCATTTCTCGCCTCCCCCCCCCCCACGCGGGCGGCTGCGGTTCGACAATGGCAAAACGGGGGGGGAGGGGGGGGATTTGGGGGGGTTTGGGGGGGATTTGGGGGGGTTTGGGGGGATCGGTGGTGTTTAGGAGGGATTGGGGGGGGGTCGCTGCCGCCGTCCTTCCACAGGCTCGTGGGGGACCCCCCCCTCTTGGTTGCCTCCCCCCCGCCCATCCCCGCGGCCTCCGGGCTGCTCCCGCGCTGAGTGACGTCACCGCTCCGCTCGGTGACGTCACCGGGGCGGCATGGACGAGGAAGCAGTGTCCCGGTGACACCCCCTCCCCCCCCCCTCCGCCCATCCCCAACCCGAGGGGACCCCGGTACTGCCGGTAGCGGGGCCACGGGGATGGGCGCAACCGGACATGGGGGGACCCCGGTGCCCCGTGTGCGTCCCCTCGCCCCGTTACGGGCATCCCCCGGTGTCCCCCGAGCCCCTCCGCGCTCCTTAATAACGTGTGGCCTTTATTCCCATTGTTCATACCGGGGCCGTACCCCCCCCCCTCCCCCCCCCACCGGTGCCCCCCGGGGACGGAGACGTCAGAAAATCCAATGAAAACGGGAATTAACCGAAAAAAACGGACCCCAAATTGCACCAAATCCGCCGGGACCGGGGGCTCGCTCAGTCTCGGTGCCGGCCCGGGACCCCCCCGGTGTGTGCGTGTGACCCCCCCCCCCCCCCCCTTTCCCGGTGCCGCTTCAGTCCCCCACATCGATCTCCTCCTCCGAGAGCTCCGCGGGGCCGGCGCCCGGTGCCGTTGCGGGGGGCAGCGGCGGGTCCGGGATGGCTGCGAGGTGGCGGAGGGCGGCGGGGGGCAGCGCCTGCAGCGAGGCCACGTCCGCCCGCAGCTCGTCCAGGTCCCGCTTGAGCTTGGCGCGGCGGTTCTGGAACCAGGTGATGACCTGCGCCGTGCTGAGCGCCAGCCGCGCCGCCAGCCGGTCCCGCTCCACCGGGGACAGGTACTTCTGGCGCAGGAAGCGCTGCTCCAGCTCCCGCAGCTGCTGCGCCGTGAACGCCGTCCGTGACTTGCGGCGCTTCTTGCACGGAGGGCGAGATCCAGGGACGGCCAAAGGCTCCCGACCTGCGGGGACAGCGGCACGGTACGGAACGGGAAGGGGAACGGGAAGGGGAACAGGAACGGGAAGGGGAACGGGAACGGGAACGGGAACGGGAACGGGAACGGGAAGGGGAAGGGGAACGGGAACGGGAACGGGAACGGCTCCCGAGCTGCAGGGACAGCGGCACGGTACGGAACGGGAAGGGGAACGGGAACGGGAACGGGAACGGGAACGGGAAGGGGAACGGGAACGGGAACGGGAACGGGAAGGGGAAGGGGAAGGGGAACGGGAAGGGGAACGGGAACGGCTCCCGAGCTGCGGGGACAGCGGCACGGTACGGAACGGGAACGGGAACGGGAACGGGAAGGGGAAGGGGAAGGGGAAGGGGAACGGGAACGGGAACGGCTCCCGAGCTAAGGGGACAGCGGCACGGTACGGAACGGGAACGGGAAGGGGAACGGGAACGGGAAGGGGAAGGGGAACGGGAACGGGAACGGGAACGGGAACGGGAACGGGAACGGGAATGGCTCCCGAGCTGCGGGGACAGCGGCACGGTACGGGAACGGGAACGGGAACGGCTCCCGAGTTATGGGGATAACGGCACGGTACAGAACGGGAAGGGGAACGGGAACGGGAACGGCTCCCGAGCTGCGGGTTCAGCGGGGTGGAATAGAACGGGAAGGGGAACGGGAACGGCTCCCGAGCTGCGGGGACAGCGGCACGGAACGGGAAGGGGAACGGGAACGGGAACGGGAACGGCTCCCGAGCTGCGGGGACAGCGGCACGGTACGGAACGGGAACGGGGACGGGAACGGGAACGGGAACGGCTCTCGAGCTGCGGGTTCAGCGGGCACGGAATAGAACGGGAACGGGTATGGCAGAGGGAACGGCCCGGGAACGGCACGGTACCGGCACGGCACGGCACAGCGTGGCACCGGCACGGCACAAGCAGCCGCACTGAACCGGGCCCAGCACGGTACAGCACCGGTAACGGTACCGGCATGGGCAGCGGCGTCGGCACCGGGTCGGCAGCAGCACAGCACGGCGCGGCACGGCACGGTACGGTACGGTACGGTACGGTACGGTACGGTACGGTACGGCACGGTACGGCACGGTACGGTACGGTACGGTACGGCACGGTACGGTACGGCGGTCTCAGCGCCGATCTTGTCCCGGCTGTGAAGCGCCGAGCACGGTAAAACCGGGCCCAGCTCCGCCGTTCAGAACAACCCGATCCCGGGCCCGCTGCCGGGAGCCCAGAACCGAGAACCGCTCGTCCCGTCCCACAGAGCCCGGTCCTGCCGGAGCCGCCGCCGCTCCCGGGGCTCCAAGCCCGGTTCCTCCCCGCCGCGGCTCGGCCCGACCCCGGCACCGGATCGGTCGGAGAGCCCGGGCCGCGGGGCCGGAACCGGCAACCGGGAAGAGCCGAGACCGGGAGCGGAGTCGTCGCCGGTTCGCAGAAGCCCCGGGGCCGGTGGTTTCCGGCCGCCGCTCCCAGCACGGCCGAGCCGCAGCCCCGAGGCCCCGACCCGAGCGCTCTGCTGCCGGTGGAGCGGATCCGGTGCCCATCAGCGGCATCGGTGCCGGTTCCACACCGGCAACAGGGTCCCGGTGCGTGTCGCGGTGCCGGTGCCGGCCCGTTAGAGCCTCCGTGGTGCCGGCGGGTCCATCCGCCGCCCGGTAACGTGGCTCCAGAGGCGCGGACCAGTCTCTGCTTTCCCCGTTACCGGCTCCCGCTTCCTCCGCTGCGGCGGGGCCTCGGGGCTGCTCTGCCCGTGACCTGTCGGTGGGTCCGGCCGTTACCGGGGGCCCGGGATGTCTCGGCAGTGTCCGTGGGTCCGGCCGTTACCGGAGGCCCGGGATGTCTCGGCTGTGTCCGTGGGTCCGGCCGTTACCGGAGGCCCGGGATGTCTCGGCGGTGTCCGTGGGTCCGGCCGTTACCGGAGGCCCGGGATGTCTCGGTGGTGTCCGTGGGTCCGGCCGTTACCGGAGGCCCGGGATGTCTCGGTGGTGTCCGTGGGTCCGGCCGTTACCGGAGGCCCGGGATGTCTCGGTGGTGTCCGTGGGTCCGGCCGTTACCGGAGGCCCGGGATGCCTCGGCGGTGTCCGTGGGTCCGGCCGTTACCGGAGGCCGGGGATGTCTCGGCGGTGTCCGTGGGTCCGGCCGTTACCGGAGGCCCGGGATGCCTCGGCGGTGTCCGTGGGTCCGGCCGTTACCGGAGCCCCGGGATGTCTCGGCGGTGTCGGTGGGTCCGGCCGTTACCGGAGGCCCGGGATGTCTCGGTGGTGTCCGTGGGTCCGGCCGTTACCGGAGGCCCGGGATGTCTCGGTGGTGTCCGTGGGTCCGTTGGGGCGATGGGGTTCGTGTCAGCGCTGATCGCTCCCGGTGAGAAGGTTTTGGGCGTTTTTCCCGTTCATTCCGCAGCCCCGCGGGTAACGGCAGCACCGGAACGACGGCAACCTCGAGCTTCCTCTGTCCCCGTTCACTTCGCCGTTAGCGGCGGCCGGGAAGGCTCCGTTCGAGGCCGCGCTCGGCCCCACCGTGTCCCTCTGTCCCGGCGGTAACGGGGCTTTCCCTCCGCTCCCGGAGCCCCGGCGCTGCCCGTTCCTGATCGTTTATCAGGCCGGTAACGGGTTTATTCCGTTCCCAACGGCCGTGTCCTTCCGTCCGTCCCATAACGGCTCTTCTCGTTCACTGCCGCGGCCCCGCTGCCCGGTTGTGTCCGCGCCTCCGTTCCGTAACGGGTTTTTACCTTATTCCTCGGTCTCGTTTCTCCCCGGTTTCCGTCCGTGCTGCGCCGTTTATTTCCGTTCATTCCCGGCCGCTGACCCGGGTCCGTCTGCCCGGCCGGGTTAACGCCGCTTTGGTGCTCGTTAATCGCGGGCCCCCGCTCTGCCCGTGGCCGGTGCCCGCCCGTTGAGGCCGCATCGGTAACTCCCGCAGCCCGCAGCGGAGCACGGTTTCGGTTTCGTTCATTCCCGGTGCTCGGCTCTGTCCGTGTCCGTCGCTCCGGCCGCGGATCGCCACTTCCGTTAATAACGGGAGCCCGGCTCTGTCCGTGTCCGTCGCTCCGGCCGCGGAACGCCGCTTCCGTTAATAACGGGAGCCCGGCTCTGTCCGTGTCCTTCGCTCCGGCCACGGAACGTCCCTTCCGTTAATAACGGGAGCTCGGCTCTGTCCGTGTCCCTCGGTCCGGCCGCGGAACGTCCCTTCCGTTAATAACGGGAGCTCGGCTCTGTCCGTGTCCGTCGCTCCGGCCGCGGATCGCCACTTTCGTTAATAACGGGAGCCCGGCTCCATCTGCCCGTGTCCGCCCGTTTCTTCGTTAACGGCGGGGGCCCCGCTGGGCCTCTCCGTGTGCCCGTTCTTCTCCGCTGGTTTCCGTTAATCTCGGTCTGCCCGTGTCCGTTTGTCCCTCCCGGTGAGGGGGGTTCCGTTACCGGTTGGGCTGCGCTCCTCCCGCCCGTGTCCGTTTGTCCCTCCCGGTGAGGGGGTTCCGTTACCGGTGGGGCTGCGCTCCTCCCGCCCGTGTCCGTTTGTCCCTCCCGGTGAGGGGGTTCCGTTACCGGTTGGGCTGCGCTCCTCCCGCCCGTGTCCGTTTGTCCCTCCCGGTGAGGGGGTTCCGTTACCGGTTGGGCTGCGCTCCTCCTGCCCGTGTCCGTTTGTCTGCTCGAGGGGGGGTTCGCAGCAGGATCCCGGCCCCGTTCCCCCGGTGGGGCCGATTCTTTCCCTCCGGGTCTTGCCGTACCCGGTGCCCCAAAGGAGCCGCCGACGGTGCCGGTGACCCCTCGGTAACGGGTTTCTACGGACGGAGAGGCCCCGGAGCCCACCGAGGGTCTGGGAAGTCGCCGCCGGTGCCGGTAAAGGAAGGGGCCTGCCCCGCAGCTCTGCTCCTGCGCTCGGTCACGGTCACGGTCACGGCTCGGCAGGGCCGGAGGCCGCCGCTTTCCCCGGTGAAGCCCGACCGGCACCGCGGGACCGATCCCTCCGCCCATCGCCGCTCCCGGAGCCGGAGCAGTGCCCGCGGGCCCCGGTAAAGCCGGGCCGGGCCCCGCCGCTCCCTCCGCGACTCCGCGCTCCCGAACCGGGCCCTCGGCCGCGAGGTGCCCCAGGGCGAGCACCGGCCCCGTCCCGGGCTCTCTCCGGACAAAACTTCCCCGGCTCGGGGCGAGGAGGACCCCGGTTCCCCGGCACCTGCGCGGTCCCCGCTCCCCCCCCCCCTTCATGCCCCCCGGTCCCCCCCGGTCCCCCCCGGTGCTCCCCGGTCCCGGTACCTTCCGCCGCCTGCAGCAGGCCCAGCTCCAGCCCCTGGAAGGTTTTGCTGGCGAGCTCCTCCAGCGCGCAGAGCGGCGAGGACGGGGCGATGCCGCCGCCGCGGGGCCCCGCAGCCTTCTCCGGGAGCCGGGCGGGGGTAGCGGCGGTCCCGGGGCCGGTGCCGGTACCGGAGCCGGTGCCGGTACCGGGGGGGCTCCCACCGCGGGGTCTCCCCAGGATGTCCTCGATGCCGAAGGGGGTCAGCGGCTTGTTGGAGCTGGCGGGCGGCGGGAGCTGGTCCAGGGCGCTCCGGCGGCAACCGGGGGAGGAACCGGGTGCCTCCCGCGCCGAGGTCATGGCGCGTCCGCTCTCCGGCCTTCAGCACCGCGCCCGCCTCATCCCGCCGCCGCCGTCCCGCAGCGGGGCCCGGTAACGGCGGCGGGGAGCGCTCGGTTTCCCGTTACCGGGAGCCGCTCCGCTTATCCCCAACGCTCCCCTTCAATCCCCGGTACCGGGAGCAGCTCCGCGGCCCCCCCCCCCCCTCCACCACCACCGCTCCCGGTCCCGCAGCCTTAAAGAGCCGGGGCTGGGGCGGCAAATTGGGCACCGGGAGGAGGAGGAGCCACGGACGGGGGATGAGATCGGGGGGGGGGGCACCGCTCCCGGGATGCGCCTCCCCCTTCCACAGCCATTTCCCACCCAAACGGGGGGGGCTTGGGTGCGTTCTGCCCCCCCCCCCCCCCCAAATTAAACCCTCAGCGGGGCTTTTACCGTCAGCACTGAATTTATGAGCTCCCCTGCTCTCAATGCCCCATAAAAGCGCAGGGGCCGCCGCGTCTGGGAGTGATTAAAGCCGCTTAGGGTGGGTTTTGGGTTTCAGAGCGTGGCCGGGCCATAAATCCCCCCCCCCCGTCCCCAATTCCCCGCTGCCCCCAAATTCCCGGTACAAATAGCTCCGGGATCCCCCGGGCTCATAAAAGGGCTCGGGATGGCCGCACACGGAGGTGAGGCGACACCGGGGTCGTGTTTGCCAGCGGGATGGGGACCGGGAGATGGCGAAACCCCCCCCCCCCGAAGGGAGCGATTCCGCGTCCCCATCCCGCCCAGTTCTCCCCAAGGGTCTGCTGCTGGGATGCTCCAACGGGACACAGGGGTCAATGCGGTTAATGAGAGCAAATGAACCTGCGTGCAGTGGGGAAGGGGAAGGGGGGGATGGTGCGGGGTTGGGGGGAGCAGGTGCAGGGGGACCCCCAGGAGGGATTTGGGGTCTTCTCATCTTGCTGACAAAGCAGAACGCGATCCCCGGGGCGGGGAATGGGTTCAGACAAATCCGAGCTTGAAATTTCCCAGCAGCCGGAGCAATTAAATAGAAGCCGGGGCGAGGAGGAGGTGGGTTGGGAAAAGGGGGGTTTGGGGGGGCGGGAAGGGGGGGCTCTGGCAGCTTGGGATCCCATTTGGGAGAAGGGTTGCAGGCTGCGGCGGCTGCATCGCATGCGGCTTTTGTCCTCACCGGAGGGCCGGGATGCGCCGCCATCTCCCGCTGCTTGACGGGGAATGGGGCACGTCCCGGGCCCCCAATCCCCCCCCTGCTCATCACCCTGCCCAATAGCCACTTGCCCATCACCCTGCCCATCACCGCGCCCATCACCCTAGCGTCAGGCCTGCTCCCGGCTCGCTGCCAGGCTGGGGGGGGGGAAGCGGCAGCTCCAGCTGACGGGAACACAGGATGGGAAAAGGCTTCTCACCCCACACCGGCCCGAGCCCGTTGGGTTCCTGCAGGAACAGCGGAGCTTCCTGCGGGGCAGAGCCCGGTGCCGGCGGCCCGAGGCCACGCAGATGGGCGCTGCTGCTGCTGCGGCACCGGGGCACCGGGATCCCGCTCCTACACCTCTGTACCCGCCTGCACCGGGGCTGAACCCATGGAGCCCGGTCCCGGTAGCTGCGCCCCGAGCACCCCCGAGCGCGTGCACGTGGGGACGGGTGCGCGTTCACAAGCGCGGGTGCGAGGCTCTGTGCCCTGTGCTCCCCACCCCCTTCATCCCCGTTGTCTGGGGCTCCGTTACCCCCCCCCCCGGACACCCATCCCCGCTCCAGTGGCACCCACAGCTCCCAGCACCGGGTGCTCCCGTTCATGTGAACCCAGCGCTGATGCTCTGGGGCCGCCCTCCTCAACCGGTGCCGGTGCTGGTGCCCCGATACCGCGGTGAGGGGTGTCCCGGAGCCCGGGGACACCGCCGGTTGCAGCGCCGCGCTTCAGCCCCTCATCCCTCATCCATAATGGAAGGGCTCCGGGCTGCAGGCGAGGCGGTGCCGGTAACTCGATTAGGGACGCTCCCGGCGCCGCGGGATCCACATGGAAATTGCTGGCAAATGAATTTCCCTTGAATAAAGGGGTGGCCGGTGCGGGATGGAGGCGGCGGGGCCGAGGCGAGCACCGGGAGCCGCCGCCTCACCGGGGACGGGACCCGGGCAATTACAGGCAATAAATCCCGACCCTGCTCCCGGTGGCGGGGCCGCGGGGGGAACCGGGACTAACGGGATTACACGTACCCGGGGAGCGGGATTGATGTGATGGGAGCAGCGGGGTGCAGGGGTCCCCCCCGGGGCTGACGGCGAGGCGTCAGTTCAGGAACACAGCGCCTGTGCCGTGGAGGGGTGGGATGGGGTGAGGGTAGGGATAGGGATGGAGCGCAGATGGGGATGGGGATGGGATGGGGATGGGATGGGGATGGGGATGGGGATGGGGATGGGAATGGAATGGAATGGAATGGAGATGGGGATGGGGATGAGGATTGAATGGAGATGGAATGGGGATGGGGATGGGAATGAAATGGAGATGGGATGGGGATGGGGATGGGAATGGGGATGGAATGGAATGGGGATGGGGTGCGGGTGGGGACGGGAATGGGGATAGAGATGGGATGGGAATGGGGATGGAATGGAATGGACATGGGAATGGGGATGGGAATGGGGATGGAATGGAATGGACATGGGAATGGGGATGGAGATGGGGTTGGGGATGGGGATGGAGATGGGGCTGGGGATGGGATTGGGGATGGAGATGGGGATGGGAATGGGGATGGAATGGAATGGAGATGGGAATGGAGATGGGGATGGGATGGGGATGGGGATGGGGATGGGATTGGGGATGGAATGGAATGGAGATGGGGTTGGGATGGGAATGGGGATGGAGATGGGGATGGGGATGGGATTGGATGGGGAAGGGATAGGGACAGGGACCAGTAGTCCTGGGGCCTCAGCACACACAGGGCCCGGCACACGTCTCCCACACGTGTGTGCAGGTGGGGTCCCACTCGTGTGTGCAACCCCCCCCCCCCCAGCAGCCACCCCGGACACGCGTGTGGGGGCACAGCCACGTTCAACCGTGCCGGGGGGGGGTCCCCCACGCGTGTGCGGGCACGGACACCCCTCCCACGTGACCCACGTGACCCACGTGTCCGTGCTGCGCTGGGGGGGGGCTCAGGAGGTGCCACCGGCCCCGGCCCCATCTGCTGCCCCCCCCCGGGGCCTCCAGATGGGCAGGGGCCAAACTCCCACCAAATGGCCCGGGGGGGGGCGCGGTTGCTGCATTTCAAAGCCTCCGGATGGAGCAAACGCCGCGGCCCCCCCGCGGGGCCGTCACCGGGGCCTGACCCCAGCGCGGCCCCGGAGCAGGGCACGGGGACACCCCCGGACCCTGCCCCATGGGGACCCTCCCGGTGCCCGCTGCCGGGGGCTCCCTGGGCACCGGCGCCGTTCCCAGCCCCACGGCAGAGGCAACGGGGATGGGGGGGGCCGGAGGGCGCTGCCGCAGCCCCCTCCCGCTGTCAATGGGTGCACCCTAACCCTAAACCTGTGCCCCCATCGCCCCATGGCCGTGGGGCGCGGGTGCCGGCGTCCATGCGGGTTCAATAGGGCTGGGGCAGGGGGCTCGGGGGGAGGCTTTGAGCTCGGAGGGAGCACTGGGAGCACTGGGGGGACAAGGGACCCCTGCCCGGGGGACACCGACAGGCGGGGATGGGTCCCCTATGGCACCACGGGGGGATACCCCATAGACATCGCGATGTCCCACAGCCCTCCCAGTGCCCCATGGCCATTCCCATGACCCACAACCGCTCTGGTGCCCCACGGCCCTCCCAGTGCCCCATGGCCATTCCCATGACCCACAGCCGCTCTGGTGCCCCATGGCCCCCCCAGAGCCCCATGGCCTTTGTGTGTCCCACATCCACCCCAGTGCACCAAAGCCATCCTGGTGCCCCAAGGCCCTCGAGTGCTCCCCAGCCCCTGCTGCACTGGGCCGGGGGGCTCCATCCTGGCACTTATGGGGCTGGGACTCGGGGTCCATTGGGCGCAGTGACAGCCCTGGGGGGGGGGCACCCCGTTCATGCCACCAGCGCGGGGGGGACGGGGGGGCGGCGGCGGGCGCTGCCGTGCGGATCGATGCCGGCGGGGGTCAGCGCTGCCGTTAACCCCGCTCCGCCCCGGGGTTAATTAAACCGAAACGTGCAATGAAACGTGGCCGATGGGGGGGGTCACACGGGGGGACCCGCATTGGCCCCGCTCCATTGGATGGGGACCCCTCCCATTGGAGCAGCCCCTGTGTCCAGCCTGGCCTGGAGCACTGCCAGGGATGGGGCACCCACAGCCCCCCCCCCCCTGTGCCATAGTGTGGGTACGGTGCCCGGGGCCGCCCTGGCACGGGTGGGAGGAAGAGCTCCGCCGCAGAGGAAGCCCCATCCTTCCTCCTCCTCCCGGCCCAGCCCGGCTCTATTCTTAGCCCCGGTCTGTGCCGCATCCTCCCCAGCACCGGGCCCAGGGGACCCCGGAGGCAAAGAGAGGAGCCCCCCCCCCGTATGGTAGCGCCTGATCCCCCCCTGCAGCCACCACCGTTACACCAGACCCGTGCCGCAGCAGCTGCCCCACAGACCCCATAGCACGGGATGGGGCAACGCAGTGGGGGGGACCCTCCCGGCCACCCTCACCCAGCCCCAGCACCGCTTGGTGTCCCCCACCCTGTCCCATGGTGGGGCTCAAGGGGGTCTCTGCCCCCAGGGAACGGGGCTGTGTGGAGGGAGATGGAGCCCCTGTGTTGATGGTGAGGGCGACAGCACCCAGTTGGGAACAGGGACCCCGCGACCGCATCGCTCCCACCATGGGGACACTGGGATCCCTCCTGGCCCTGCATCCCGGGCCGCGTGTCCATGGGGCTGGGGCGGGTTTGGGCACGGGGGTCCCCCCGGTGCAGCGGGGCTGGGGCAGGCACGGCGGGGTCAGCCGCATTCCAGCTCCCGCAGCGATCCGGTTACCGGCCGCGGCCCCATGATTAATCTTCCCGGGTGCCCTTTGGAATTCGCCGCCCGGGGCCCCGCGGGGTGCAGGGATCCGGCGGG